ATACGCACGAGCTGGCACAGAAAACAGTTGTCTGCACTTTACTTTCTACTCCCTTCCTCGATTTCTCCTCCCTCTTCGTCCAACAAGTCTGTCCTCCTTGGCGCTAACGCTACCCACTTGTGCTTGCATTGCTACGGCTGCGGCTGCAGCTGCTCATGCTAATCCTGTTCCTAGTACTAATAGTGTTGCTATTGCTGAACTGAGCTGCACAATAGTCAACTCCTCTTCCCTCTCTCCCATTCCCCTTTCCTCCTCCTCCTCCTCCTCATCATCATCGTCGTCGTCGTCTTTCTCCTCTTCTTCCTCTACATTTACTGAGGTAATAATGACGTCGGATCTTTCGTTGCCATTCTCGTTGGTGTTGTTGTTGGTGGTGATACCATCACCATTGTCATGGCCGTAGTTGTTGGCATGGTCAGCTGAGGGATCTAGAGTTACTCAATCCATTCACAGAATGATCTCTGTTAGTCAGCCCTAACGTCATTATGGGCTGCGATGCACCAGATCTTCCCCCGCACTCTCCACCAGGTGCAGGAAGGTCGCACAAAGTGTATTTTGCACTGTCATTAATCTTAGACACCAGCACCACTGGAAGCCTTCTCTCCGCCCTCTCTCCTCCCCCGTCTCCTTCATTCTCCACACCCCTCCTCCTTCCTACACTCTTCTCGCCCCACCATCATCCCACGTAGTCTCTTGTTTCTCCCCTCGACACATCTGAGAAAGCAAGACATCGTCATCTATCAGGCATGTCTCAGCCTAAATTCGTAGATCTGACATTAGCCTTGTGAGCCCAGACACCCAATCAGAGGCGAGAAAGCCTTCTGACAGTCGGTGACCTTCCATTTGTCTCGTCAACCTGCGTTCCCATTTCCGGACGTCTGCTGACGAGGTTATGGCTACTGTCGGTGAATGGAACGAACGAATGAACAAAGGAGAGGTAGATGAGTTAGTTGACTGGCTGAATGAAACCAACTGCTCACCTCAGTCAACTGTCGTCGCCCATAAAGAACACCCAACATTCAAGTCCAAAAGCTGTGTCTTTTCAGCTTCCGCTTGCTCCTTTAACTTAATAAAATTGACCACCATTGATCGAGCAATAAGATATCAGTTGGAGGAAGGTGGAGAAGAGGGTTTCACTTTACTCGTCTCTCATTCTCGCCCTTTCCATCCATCCACGTCGTTAAGCCTCCAGTCAGCGTCGATCAGAAGGTATGCCTCTCGTCATTGACATTCCTTCAAAGCCAGCCACCTTTCTGCA